CCTTGTTCATTATCACAGTCCTTTGGAGGAAACAGGCCAATCAAAACCCAAACCCTGTATTTGATACCGCAGCACTGCTGGAGATTGGGCCGGGACAGTAACTGAGTCTCACCGGGGTTGTGGGTGGGGTGGTGGAAACTGCTGGGTGCTTAAGGTACTTTGAGGGCCCACTTGACCTCAAAGACTCCCCTTGTAAGGACAAGTCAAGTAGACAAAGCTCAGGCCCCAGCAGTGTCAAGGACTGGTTCAAGATATCTGTGAAACTGCCATGATCCTTCTGTGATCCCTACCTCACAGCGCAGACATGAAAAGTCAACATAAAGGTTTAGGACAGTGCTTGGCATAGATTCCCAAGCCAAACCCCCTGTCACTGAGTCGATTCTGATTCATAGCTACCCAGGCTGTAAATCTTGACAAGAGCAGACAGCCTCATCTTTCTCCCCCAGAGCGGTAGGAGGGTTTGAACCATTAACCTTGCAATTAGCTGTCCAGTGCTTATCAGACAGTACCAGGATTCCGTTGGCATAGGTAGGCTCTTTTAAAAGAGATGAACTGGCCCAAGAGGAGGAGTGTCCAAGGCCACTTCCGCTATGGCTGTATCCAAGGTCAGGGACATGTGGACACTGAAGGCATACCCTGCCCTGTGATCAGAGGTGTAAGGACAGATGGGTAGAAGGGGCTGGGCATTACCACGACTACATTTTCTCCTCCATCACACATGCCTCTCAGAAAGTGCAGCACCTTGCACAGCACTGAACAGGATTTCCTGTGGTGAATGTGTACATAAATGAGAGTGCCAACAAGGCCTTTTCCCCAGCTATGTCTCCTTCAGCCACAATGAAGTAGAGCCTCGATTTGAGTCAACAATCCTACAGAGGAGATACCACGTCCAGGTAGGATTCTGGGCCAGACAGAGTCTGAATCCCTTTCAAGTCTTAGATTTATGGTTTGAAGTGGTGCAACGAGCCAGTGGTTATGCGGTTCAGGTTATCAAGATCACTCACCACAGATACACACAGATTGTTTTGTTTGAAATATGGAATTGTGGGAAGTGTCACACCAAGAATGGCCTCAGGCTTTTGCTTTTCTGGATCAACAAGCTGTGGACAACATTATTCCCAGTGTAATCACCCTGTTCTCCAAAGGCTGACAGGTCCAGATAAGGAGCATGCTGTTCTGAGGTTTGGTGTTTGTCTCTGTGATTTGCAGAGCAGGCACCCTGTGCTATCGTCACTGGGTCAGCCTTGGGGAGGGCAAGTCCGTCTTGGCGCATGAACAAGGTCTCTCCGGGTCACAGTGCCTACTTTACTGAAGGGCGCATCAGGGAAGCCTTTGGGATGGCTAGGAAACGAGATGATGATAGGTGGATCCCCTTGGAGAACATCCTCTTGTCCACTTCTGCGGACAACGTTTCATGAAGCTCAATGTTATTCCAGCTGACAAAGGCGAGAAGTGTACTTGTCCAGCTCCAGTATGACACAGCAGTGGGGGGAAGATCGGATTTGGAGCTGAGGCAAGATCTTGACAACCAGAACATCCCAAACCAAACTCACTGCCATCGAGTCAATTCTGACCCACAGTGAGTCTCTAGGAAAGGGTAGAACTGCCCCTGTGATTGCCAAGACTGGAAATCTCTAAGGGATGTGATCATTACATAATCTGGTATGAACTTGCAAAGGGGTGGAGTCTGGCACCACAGAGATAAACAGCTCACTGGAGGCCAGATACACACAGACTCTCTGCTTCCTATTCCTGATGACAAGACACATGGAACTACACTAGAGCCCTGGAGCTGGAGGAGCCACAGGGAGACCCATGCCAGCACTGAGATGCTTCCACTGCCACTGGATCCACAAGACTTTCCACCCACTGGTCTGTGATCTTTCTGTATTCAGTGTCATTGCATGTTTTGTGTGAGTTTGAATCAGACTTTATAGATTGGTATTGGATATACAGGCTAATATCGGACTTGTGAACTTGATTGGGATGTTTTCTCAATATACAATTGCTCTTTTATACAAAGTTCCTTCTTATACACATATGAGTGTCTATGAATTTGTTTCTCTAGTCAACCCTGGCTAACACAAGGGAGTAGAAAGCCTCTTCTTTTTCCCTCAGAGCGGCTGGTGGTTTCAAACTCTCTATCCTGCAGTTAGAAGCCCACTGCATAACCACGACGCCACCATTGCTGTTGCTGTTGAGAGGATTCCCACTCATAGCACCCCAAGCTTGTTTGAGTGAAACTGTAACTGTATCTCATAGGGTTTTCAATGACTATTAATTTGGAAGCTGACTACTCCACCTTTCTTTCAAGGCCACTGCCCTGTCCTGCACCATCCTCACAATTGCTCCTGTGCTTGAGCCCATTGTTGCACCATGGTGTCAATCCATCTCTTTGAGGGTTTTTCTATCTTTCACTGCCCCTCCACTTTACCAAGCATGATGTCCTTCTCCAGGAACTGGTCTCTCCTGACCACATATCGAAAGCATGTAAGAAAAAGTTTCACCACCCTTGCCTCTAAGGAGCACTCTGACCTTTCTTCTTCCAACATAGATCAGTTTGTCCTTTTAACGGTCCACGATACTTTTCTTCTCCAGCACCACATGGAAATGCATCCATCCTTCTTCGATCTTCTTTCTTCTATGTCCGACTTTCATATGCATGAGGCAATAGAAAATACAATGGCTTGGGTCAGGAACACCTTAGTCCTTAAAGTAAACACCCTTGCTTTTCAGGACTCTTTATAAAGATTTTTTTGTGTGCAGATTTACTTAATGCAGCTCATCTTTGGATTGCTTGACTGCTGCTTTCCAGGAGCATTGCTTGAGGATCCAAGCAAGGCGAAATCCTTAGATCTGAGGGCTTAACTGTCGATTTATTGGCCAGGTTTTTGGTTTCTCTCTCTCTTTATTGAGCACCTGAGTTGAGCCCTCGGGTGTCTGGGCAACTGAGTAAGATACCGAACCTAAATGAAAGTAATAACCAAGCTTTGGATCACTGACTGTGACCATAGAAGCAAGCGAAGTCCATAAAGGCAGACTTGCTCGCCCCGCCCCTTTCCCCAGAGTTTCCAGGGATGGCGCCTCAGCGAGGGTCCTGTGACTGAGCATGGGAATCTGTTCACTGCAAAGGGAGCCGCACACCATAGGCTCTGGCAGTTTTATGGATCCAGGGTGAAAGGAAGGCAGCGGGGGAGGGGACAGTACTGAGTCAAAGTGGGGCGCAGTGTCTTCAAGGTTCTCTCCCCCCACCCCCAAGCCCCTGATAGGAAACCTGTGTGGAGGTTTCTGAGGGTTGGGACACTGGGGCATTTGCTGTCAGGGCTGAGAATGGCCCTTGGGGAAAGCATGGCTGGCCAGGGAGTGGGGACTGGAGTCCCTGAGTGTAATTCTTGAGTCCAGGAAAACCAGCCCGCTTCACTGCCATCAAGCTGATCCCCACCCACAGCCCTGGTTGTAGTCAGAGCCATAGCTGAGCTGCTAAGTACAAGTTCAGTGGTTCAAATCCACCCAGTGACTCTGCCAGAGAAAGAGGAGACTGCTCTGGTAAGATTTATAGTCTCAGAAATCCTATGTATGGACCTATAGCGAGTCACTAAGAGTAGGAATAGGAGCCCTGATAGCACGTAAAAGGTACGTGTTTGCTAATCACAAAGTTCAAACCCACCAGCCACTATGCAGGAGAAAGATGAGGCTTTTTGCTTCTGTAAAGGTTCTCAACCTCCAAAACCCGCAACAGCAGTTCTACTCTGTCCTATAGGGTCAAAATCAGCTGTATGTACTTGTGTGTGCCTGTTTTTAACCAGTTTGGAATGGACTTGGTGGCAATGGGGGGTTGGTATTTGCTGCCAGAGACCAGAACTGAAAATATTCCATCTCTTTCCTAGAGACACACATTATTCTATGGGGAGAAGGTGTGGGGCCAGGCAGGGCGCAGTGGGTGCTTAGTAGCAGGGAACCTGAGTTCTGAAGGAAAGTTTGACCTTCTGTTTCAAGGGTGGTGGTCTCTGGAGACAAAGGTAGGACATTATAAACGAGGCCAGCAGGTAAAAAGGTGTGGTGGCAGGGAGGACAGCATGAAGTTCTCAAAGTACCACGAATAATTCAACCATCCCACAGCAAGAGGGCAGGTGACAGATTTACTCATTTACACATGGTAGAATGTGAGGTCCGTGGATCTTTCTCCAGAGGTGTCTCTCAAGTGTCCTAAGGCAGAACCAGGCTCATCGCACACGGGCCGTAAAGAGTTTGGAGTAAATAAATAATTCATAAAGGTGAATGAATGATCTCAAGGAAGTCCAGGATTTGGCAAGTTTTGAGTTCTGTTCCAGACTCTGCCACTTGATTTTGGCTAAATCAATGAACCTTACTTGCCCTGTTTCCGCGTGTATAAAATCAGCTAATTCTTCATTCAATGACTATTCATTTGTTGAACTACTACCATCAGAACAAGGTGGCTTCAAAACCCCGCCTCTTCTAAGCCCCGCCCACCCCTCCAGTCCGTAATTACGCTCCGCACCTTTTCAGCACAGCCCGCCACCAGCGCAGAGGACCCGCCCACTCCGCCCCAGTCCTCCAATGGCCAAGATACACGGCTAGGTGAGAGGGAAGGAGTTTTAGGTGGCTGCTTGGCGCCTGACCAGAGTCTTAGGGAAATCCGCTTCTCTTGAGCAGTCACTTCCCCTAGTTGTCCCTGGGATATGAAGAAGCACCTGCTCCCTTTAAGTTCCTCCAAAGCGTCCGACAAAGCTCCCTGAGCCCGTGGCCGCTCTCCGTTGGAGCGCCTCCGGGTCCTCACTGGACGAGCTCTCGCCTCGCGGCATTCTGGGAGGGGTAGTTTTCTCTCTCTCCAAGCTCCCCCCAGATAGACACTGGGCAACCCTCGCGGGACTACGATTCCCAGGCACCCTCGCGGTCCTTTGGGTCGCGTGGCCCGCGCCTGGAGGCCGGCTCGCCCGGGCGGGTCAGGACGCGGGCTGGTGGGCGGGGGCCGGGCTGTGCTCCGCCGCCGTCCGGTGACAAGCAGAGTCCGCGGGCCGCCTCGGCCCCCCGCGACCCCACCATGGTACGCGCCAGCCCTGTGGGGACGCATCTCCCCGCGTCCGGCTTGGACATTTTCGGGGACCTAAGGAAGATGAACAAGCGCCAGGTAGCGGAGTCGGGCGAGGGGACGTCCCGGGGCCGAGTCGGGGCTGTGGGAGTCGGGCTTGTCGGGCCAGGTCCACCTGCGAGCGAGCTCCCGCGACGGGTCGGGCGCCGGCGCTCAGCGGCCTGGGTTCAAATCCGCCCAGACCACGTGTGGGCTGGACGGACGTTCTGTGGCTCGAACGCAGCAAGCCCCGGGCAGAAAGGCCGGGAGAAGAGCGGCCCCGTCTCGAGGCTGTCAGGTGTGGTCGAGAAAGCGACGGGAGATGCCCGGACGCAGGTGACAGCTGTCGCTCACGTTTGAAGGGCAGCTCCGTGGACGATGGACCGATTTCCCAGCGGGGCTTCTGAGGCCTGACGGACGGCATAGGCTGTGGTCGTGGTAGCGCGGAAGGGACGTTGTGACCAGGGGGCTGTCCGGTCGTGCGTGTCCAAGCAGTGTCTCCCCGCCCCGGCTGGTGTCTCCCCACCAGCTGTCAGGCTGGGGCTCCGGGGACTCGGAGCAGCCGGTGACGCTCCATCATTGTGGGTCGAATGAGCGTTCCAAAGGGATTCCAGAAGTTTCTCTGGATCCCATCCTTCTGGCCGAACTTGAGTATGGAAAGCCACTTGGGAGGGATCTTGGGGTCTGTCAGTGAGAGGCCCCCCGGAGTGAAACTTCCTCTTCCGGTCACCCTAGGCAGAGACTGGCCAGCGTGGGGTCTTTAGGGCCTTCCCCCAAACCAAACCCACTGCCTCCCTATGACTCCCAGGGACCCTATAGGAAACCCTGTGGGGTTCCGAGACTGGAAAGCCTCGTCTTTCTCCCGCAGAGCACCTGGTGGTTTCAAACTGCTGATGTGACCACTTCTCCGCCACCAGGGCTCTTCTGTATGTCCTTAGCACCTCCCATAGGAGGCCAGAGTAAGGAACTGCACAGGGAGCCTGCCCAACCGGGGAAAATTGTTTCAGCTTCTAGATCAGTGGTTCTCAACCTTCCTAATGTTGTGACCCTTTAATACAGTTCATGTTGTTGTGACCCCCCCCCCAACCATAATTTTTTTCTTTGCTACTTCATAACTGTTATTATGCCACTGTTATGAATCGGACGACCCCAGTGAAAGGGTCGTTGGACTCCCAAAGGAGTCACAAGCCACAGGTTGAGAACAGCTGTTCGCTGTTCTAGATGAAGAACTGAAGTCAGGGAACCGTGTGCCCCAAACATGATGGCTACAAACCCCACTCCTACTGCGAGAGACTGCTGTCTAGTATGTTCTGATGCAAGGCACCCCTGTGCCCCAGGGGATTCTCAGGGCTGTGACCTTTGGGGAGCACACCACCAGACTGGTCTTCCCAGGCCCTTCAGGTGCCTTCGAACCACCACCCTCACAGCTAGAAATCCAGCTCTTAATGGTTGGTAGTACCTAGGGACTCTTCCCTCTCACCCTGGTAATACATTATGTTAAGGAAATCAGACCTTCCTACTGGTGAGGATTTGGGGGTGGGGCGGGTGGGTGCTGGTTGTCTTTGAAAAGAATATAATTTTCTCGACATCTCCATTGTGTTGAGTGGGGCGAGGGCCTGTGGCGGCAGGACGTAGCACATGCCTTTGGGCTGATGCGCAGCTTTTCTTTTTCCCTTCCAAGTGATTCCCAAACGAGGGCAGTGGTGTGGGAGAGTTTGGTGCCGTGGGTTTCTTGAACTTTGTTTTAGGATCTGGCTCTTTCTAGGAGTGCCTCGCTGGTGGACTCCTGAAGATTTCCGTCGTGACGATGAGCTGTCACCAGTCGTTACAAACCCACTGCGGTCAGTCGGTTCCAGCTCATAGGGGCCATGGAACAGGGTAGAACTGTCCCCCAGAGTTCCCAAGGCTGCCATCTCTGGGGAGCAGGCCGCAGATGGATCGCTGGGTTCCAGCCTGCCCATTGCTTGAACTCTGCACCATCAGGGCTTCTGATACCACTGGCTTGAAAACCCAACAGTTCGTGAGCTGAGCACTGGTGTGTTTCACAAGAAAATCTTCCTGGAAATTGTGCTTTGTTTAAAAACCTAGACTTGTTGGCTAGGTTTTTGAAGCTTCTGTAAAATCGGTGCTGCTTACCAGTCCTCAGAGGCGGCCTTGTGATGAGTGTATCAGTCCTTAAGCCAGCTTGGCTTTTATAAGTTCTGTGTGTTCCCAAGCTCTGTGAGAAGACCTGTGAGGAGCCAATTGCCTTGCTAATGCTTTGCTGGTCTTCTTATTAAAATTCAGCTCAAAACCAATATCTCCCGATTTTGAAAAAAGCTTTATCCTTTTGCTTGTTTCTCCTTGCCCAAATAACATCTTTATGACACCTTGTCCAACGTGCATGTGCTGCCAGCCTTGCAAGGGGCCACCGTTGTCTACTATCCCTGCGTCCTAGTAATTAGAGCAAGAGCCCACGCAGGACAAGGACTCTTTGTTTCTGCAAGGAGGAAGCGAGAGGAAAATAGAGCTACTGGCATGTCTGCTGCGCCAGCATATCCATTTGGAAATGTTGGTTTGAAATTCTCAGACATTGGCTGTTTTATCTTTGGCTGACAATTACCGAGTGTGGTCTTGCTTCTCATTAAATGCTGAGCACACAGAGTTGGTGGGCAAAGATGGAAAAACAGCACAAAACACCAGTGAAACGGGGTGGTGTGTGTTTTAGGAGAGGTTCCGACGTGCCAATGTTGTTGTCGGGTGCCGTCTGGTCGGTCCGACACATAGCCGCTCTGTACAGCAGCGTGAAACACTGCTGCCCCTGCACCGCCCTCACAGTCAGTGTTGTGTTTGAGCCCATTGTGTGAGCACAGCTCATAGAGGGCCTTCCTCTTTCTCCTTGACCTTCTACTTTATCAAGCACGATGTCCCTCTCAAGGAACTGGTCTCTGCCGACAACATGTCCAAAGTGCGTGGGACGAAGCCTCGCCATTCTCACTTCTAAGAGCATTCTGGCTGCACCGTTTCCAAGACAGGTTTGTTTGTTCTCGTGGCAGTCCCTAGTACTTTCATTATTCTCCCCCAGCACCATAAATCAAAAGCATCAGTTCTCTGTCTGTCTTGTTCATTGTCCCCCTTTCACACGCATAGGAGGTAATTGAACGTACCATGGCTTGGGTGAGGCGCCCCTTAGTCCTGAAACTGACATCCTTGCCCTTCATCACTTTAAAGACATCATGTGTAGTTTTGCCCAGTGCAATGCGCCATCTGATTTCTTTGCTGCCTCCATAAGCATTGATTGTGAATCCAAGAAAAATAAATGCCCACGACTTCCATCTTTTCTTCATTGATCACGATGATACCTGCTGGTCTGGTTGTGAGGCTCGGGCTTCCTTACACTGAGCTGCAATCGCTGTTGCAGCCTGCGTCCTTGATCCCTATCAGCAAGTGAGTCAGGTGCTCATGAGCCTTACCCTGCTGCTGAGTTCTCCATGTGGCCCAGCTTCCCTAATATTCAATCCGCATTCAGATGGAATACGTTTGATGAAGGGATGCATCCCTGACACGCGCTCTTCCTGGTTCTTAAATTGTGCAGTTTCTCCTTGTCAGTGCCCTGCCAGCAGTTCACCAGAATCATCTTTCCAGGTTGCAGTTTCTGGCCGGTCCTCCTCCTCGCCCTGCCCCGAAAGGCAGGACCTGGAAGTGTCCCCTGTGCTTTCCAGGGAGCTGGAGTGCCAGCTTTTGTGGCTTGGTCATTTCTTTAGCAGATGGGTGTGCTGTGCAGAGGAAGTACTTTTGAGGAACGAATCTTGCTTCTCGATGAATTTCTCCAGCATAGAGAGTCATATCTGGAAACGGGTTCTTAGTATGAGATTCTTCATTAGCAAAGCAGCAAGATTTTATAATTTGCTCATTAGGGGTGGAGCCAGGTAGTTTGAGATCCAGTCTGAAAATGGTGGTGGGGTGGGGTGGGGGTGGGGGTGGTTTCCTAGTCGGTTCTATAATTTATAGTGAACCTAGGGTTATGGAGCAAAGCTCCTGGGCAAGGGGAGCAGGTGGAGACGTTCTAGAAATGTGAGCTGATATTACGTGGGAGGCGGGTTTTGCTGTAGAAACAACACGTGAACAATGCCTGCTTAGCCCCCTACCTATAATGGCCTCAAAACTCTCCCGACTCGCTGCCCCCGAGCCTGTTCTGCCTCATAGCGGCCTCTCGGATAGGATGGAACTGCCCTTGTGGCCTCGTCTTTCTGCCTCAGAGCAGCTGGTGGGTGCCATCTGCTGGTCGTAGAGTTAGCAGCCCAGTGCACAACCCACGACACCACCAGGACGATGAGTGTTTGGGGCCATCGCTCTGTGTATGCTTTTAGTATGTGAGATTTCCAGAAGGGGGGTTACTGGACCAACAGTGGGTAGCCTCCTGAACCAAATGCCGGATTGCCTGGGAAAGGTACCCCAGCCCCCCTTCCCAGCTGCCTCTGCTGCCTCTGTCACCACCGTGTTTGACTGTCTACTGATTTATAAGCAAAAGGAAAACAGGGAAGAGGGACAATTATGGGTCTGAACATTTTTTAAAAGAATCATTTTATTGGGGGCTCGTATAATTCTTACCCATCCATCCATTGTGTCAAGCACATATGTACATGTCTTGCCATCATCATTCTCAAAACATTCACTTTCTACTTGAGCCCTTAATATCAGTTCCTCATTTTTCCCCCTCCCTCCCTCCTCCCCCCTCCCTCAGGAACCCTTCATAATTCATAAATTATTATTTTGGCATATGTTACACTGTCCGATGTCTCCCCCCGCCCTCTTCTCTGCTGTCCATCCCCCAGGGAGGAGGCTATACGTAGATTCTTGTAATCGGTTCCCCCTTTCCACCCCACATTCCCTCCACCCTCCAGACAGCGCCACTCACCACTGGTCCTGAAGGGGTCATCTGTCCTGGATTCCCTGTGTTTCCAGTTCTTATCTGTACCAATGTATATCCTCCGGTCTAGCCATATTTGTAAGGTGGAATTGGGATCATGATAATGTGGGAGAGGAAGCATTTAAGAACTATAGGAAAGTTATATGTTTCATTGTTGCTACCCTGCACCCTGACTGGCTCAACTCCTCCCCACAACCCTTCAATAAGGGGGTGGGGTCTGAACATTTTTAACATTGATTTCCTTTTTAGTAAGCTATCATTTTAAGCCTTTACTCTGTTTTCATTTAGATTTGCATGTTACATGTACTTGCCATGTTAACCGTGCTTCTCAGATCACTATTTACTCGGCACATTGAGCATATGCTCTGTGCCAGACCTGTGCTGCGTGTCGAGGCTCCCGCTGAGAGTGAGGCAGAAGTGCTGCCTGCGTGGGTAGGCCGTCCTCCAGTGGGACAGACACACTTAACTCATTGCATACATAATTATGATCGTGATGGATGATGTCAGCCAGCACCCGATGCGGGAGAATAAGGAACAGTCGGGCTTGGCAAACTCCAGCTTGCTGCCTTTTGTGTGTGAATAAAGTTTTATTGGAACACAACTCTGTTCATTGTTTTACATATCCATGACTGTTTTCTTGCTGCAGTGGCAGAGGGGAGGGTTTCCATGTAGACGGAAACCAAACCTAACCCACTGCCATCAAATCCATCTGACTCATCCCTACCCTATGTATAGTTTCCGAGACTGTGACTCCTTATAGGAGCAGACAGCCTCATCTCTCTCCCACAGGGCATTTGGTGGGTTTGAACTGCCGACCTTGTTAGTTAACAGCCCGACACCAGGACTCCTATAGGCCACAGGCAAAAAGATTTGCTTGCCATGTGTTCCTGTTCACAAATCACTTACTGAGTCCAGGCAGGCTTGGTGTTTCAGGTGTGACTTAAAGATGATGGGAGGTTAGGGACCCTCACAGGAAGGAGGGAGGGAGGGAGCCTCCTGGGCAGAGCGGACGGAGTACAGGGTGGTTGAAGGACCCCACGTGGAGTGAAGCATGTGCTCCAGCCAGCCCTCAACTGGCGACAGGTACTTAGGACCCTCTGGGTTTGGGTTTTTTTGTTTGTTTTGCTTCATACGTCTTATCCATAGTACAATCCACAGGCATGAACAAGGGGAATAGTCAGGGTGTACTGGGTTTTGAAGAGGAAAGACATGCTAACGAAGAAAGAGTTTGGAAAAGGGGAGATATTAAAAGAAAAACTTGCAGTAAGTGGGTCAGCTGAAGCCTTTTTCTAAACTCAGTTAGGGGCTTTGGTTGCTTACCAATGCTGCCCACTCTGCTCTGGTGGAGAGACGGCCTCAGGGAGCCTCGAGCCAGTTCCAGGACTGTCTGGCGTGAAAAGGGGAAGCTTACACAGATGGCTATCCCTCATCCCTGCCCCACGGATAATCCAGAGCCATCCACCAGGGCCGTCTTCATGTTTCTCACCGCAAAGACAAAGACCTGGTTTGTAAAGATACTGGTAGGTGATAAAAGACAATAGTAATGAAAACTGAACAAAGAAAATCAGGTGTTCCACTTACGTCAGGGCCAACTTCTGGTAGCTGTGGGAGGGGACAAGTCGGGGACTTCTTGTATTTCAGTGATGGCTCAGCTGGGGGAGATGGAGAGGTCAAGGGATTGAGGAGCCTGGGTGTTGGGTGGCCTGTCCCCAGGACACCAGCAGAGATGGTGAAAAAAGGAGGGTAGGGGCTGGCCCGATGGCAGGAGCCTCCCTGGTAGACAGTTGCCAGCAGGGGTGTGGGGCTTCCTTCCGAGTGGGCACAGTGGCTTCAGTCCCTGTATCTTCTTGGGGGAAGTTGGGCATTCCTACGTAGCCTGACGGTGCTGGGGATGTGGGCCGAGTCCACAGAAGTTGGCCGTCAGTGCTGAAAACCTTGTGCTTTGAGACACGGTCCAGGAGCAGGACAGACCGTGCTCTGAGGTGGTGTGGGGTCAGCTGGAAAGCTCCGGATAGCCAGCGGCACATGGCAAGGTCACATGCTGCCTTGTGGGGAACCTCGGCTGGCTCTCGGCCATACATACCTGAGCACCTTGTAAAGATTCACGAGGAATGGAAACAGACTCTCTAGGCCTCCGTCCGCCCTGGGGCTGAGGTGAGTTCCGGGTGAGTCCACACTTAACCTGGAACCTGTTCTCCCTGCTGTGGAGTGGGTAGAACTGCCCCTGTGGCTGTCCCAGCCGGCAACCCCCTTTCTCCCGAAGAGCGATTGGTATCGAACTGCTCACCTGGTTAGCAGCCCAGTGCTCACCACTCTGCCACCTGCCATCAGGGCTCCTTGGAATGCTCTGGACCTTACAAGCCAACAAGAGCCTGTTGCCTTGAGTCCATCCCAGCTCAGGGCAGCCCGAGTGGGTCAGAGCACAGGTCCGAGGGGCTTCCAGTGGGTGGGAGCTACTGGAGGCAAGTGACCAGTCCTCTCTTTTGAGGGTCCTCTGGGTAGATTTGAACTCTCAACCTTTTGGTGAGTAGCTGAGCACTTAGCCATGGACACCACCCAGGGACTCTGTTTCAGGGATTAGTGGGAAATCTTGGTTTCTCAGAACCAGGCCCACAGGTGGCTATGTTGTCTCCCCTTAATGTCACCTGCGGGGTCACATCTGGGAGGCTCCTTTGTGGGCACACAGCCGAGTGCTAGGTAGTCGTGTGCCCTGTGTGGATCAGCTCTCTGCCGCCAACAGCCTTGCCAGGCCCGTTGGCATGGCCACACGCTGCCGTGGCTTTTCACACCACGCGGTCCCCTCTTGTTGCAGCTCTACTACCAGGTGCTGAACTTCGCCATGATCGTGTCCTCCGCGCTCATGATCTGGAAAGGCTTGATCGTCCTCACAGGCAGCGAGAGCCCCATTGTGGTGGTGCTGAGGTACGTGCCGGCCCCCAACCCCCCCCCCCCCGCCCCAGGAGCTGGGAACCAGGCTGGAAGATCCTCGCCGATGTGTTTGCAGATGGTTTTTTTTCCTTCTGACTTTCAGGGAAAGATCTTAGACTTTTCAGTAGATGTTTTAGAGCCTAATTCTGTTGAGGTGGTATTTTAACCTGCTTCAAGTGACGATTCCCTCATGTGCCGTAAGTGTGTTCAGAGTGCCCAGGGAGCTCTGACATGCGGCCCACTGGCAAACATGGCTTCACCAAAGCTGTTCCCCTGCCGGGGCATCGAGGTGGTTTGTTCAAGCCGTGCCCTTGTGGACAGTTAGCTTGAGTCCCAAGACCGTTCTGCTTGTAAACGTGCAGCGTGTTTATTTAGCAACGTGAGCACTAGTGTCGGCTTCATGGAGCCGTCACGCCAGCCCACGGGGAGCAGTGGTCAGTCCTTTCAAGTGCAGTCCCTCTATTAGGCCCTGCAAGAGCGCTCCGTCCAGTGTGCCTCACACACGGAGTTCCCTGTCGGTAGACGGAGCTGTGTGTGGGTGAGCAGACAGATGGACTGACGTAGTGAGTGGGCTGTGGCAGCAGCCTGGTCAGGGACCCCGCTGCCCAGTTCGGGAGTGAGGCAGCACTTGAGACCCATGACTCCCATGCCCACCTGTCCCCTGCCTGGGGCCCAGCCGCCCCATCGTGGCCTCAGGAACCGAAAGACTGAGGTTCTTGCTTGTTTGGTCTCGGCCCTCAGCTGGGGGTCCAGCCCCTCGTTGACCACTCCTTGACCAGATGCTCAGTGTGAGGCGCTGGGAAGCCTAGCCAGCGAAGGCAGGGCCTTAAGAGTCTGCCGCCCGGAGTGACAGAGGTGCTGAGTTCCGAGAGGTGAGATGCCCCCCTTGAGGCCACGTTGTTGGTGTGCACTCCAGCTCACTGCCATCGAGCCGTGCCTACTCAGAGTGACCCTCAGGACAAGGCAGAGCTGCTGCCCTCGGGTCTCTGAGGCTGACTCTACGGGAGTAGACAGCCCATCTTTCTCCCGGGAGCTGGCTGGTGGTTTTGCCCTGATGCCCTTTTGGGTCACGGCAGCCCAGTGCATAGCCCGTCCGCCACCAGTTCACCCCAGAGTCACGTTGCTTCACTGATAGAAGCTGCAGGGGCTGGCTAGGGCCCCTTTCCTATTTGAATGCCAGAAGATGTCCTGGGGGCCCAGAGGAAATCCCAGGCCTTGTTGGTGAACCCTTAGGCTCTAACTGGTGTGACGTCTTCACTGATGCTGTGCGAGCGCAGCGGTCAGCCCAGACCACAGGCTGACCCTGGCACTTGCTTTGTTGTTTGCTGCTTCCTTCCAGTGGCAGCATGGAGCCGGCCTTCCACCGCGGAGACCTCCTCTTCCTGACCAACTTCCGGGAAGACCCCATTAGAGCCGGCGAGATCGTCGTCTTCAAAGTCGAAGGGCGAGACATTCCAATTGTGCACAGAGTCATCAAAGTCCATGAAAAGTAAGAGGCGTTATTCTCTTGGGGTTGTGTTTTGTGAGATTCTGGCTAAGATTTCTTGGCTTGTTAGGAAGCAGAGCCCGCCCTGGCTCCTGGTTCCCGGCTCAGGTGTTCACACACTGCCCTAGTCTGTGCAGGCGCAGGAACGATGGTGCCCTCCCACGGCGGCTCACAGAGCATTTGTGTTGTGTTGAGAATCCAGCGACTAGACGGAGGGCTCGGGAACACTGGGCAAGTGCAGTGCTGCCCACCTGGCAGGTGGAGTGCATTCTGTGGTTGTTGTTGTGAAGCACTGTCGAGCCAGTTCTGACTCATGGCACCCTGATAGGGCAGGGTAGAACTGCCCCTGTGAGTTTCCCAGACGAACTCTTTGGGGAGTAGAAGCCCCATCTTTCTCCAAAGTTTCTTCTGGTGGTTTCACGCTGCTGGCCTTGAAGCTAACAGCCCACTGTGTTACCACTCTGCCACCAGGGCTCCTGACATCCGTTCGGCAGAATGAAAGCCCTGGCTGCCTGGTCCTGCGCCATCCTCACAACTGCGGCTCGGTGTCAGCCTGTCCTTGCAGCTCCTGGGCCACGCCGGTCTTCTTTTTCCTGCACGCTTCTGCTTTATACCGAGCATGACGCGCCTCACCAGAGACTGGTCTCTCTTGATAGTATGTCCAGAGTACATGAGACAAAGCTTTTCCATCCTCATATTCTAGCATGATCTTAATTATTTAAAGGAGTCTCACAGAAAAATCAAATAAACACACACATTGTAACAGCATGATTTCAATGTGAGGATTACTTCCTGAAATGTAAAGAAGCTAGTGATGCCTCGTGCCACGCTAACCAAAGGGACTTTCTTAGCAGTGATGTCTGTCAGTCCTGATAGAGAAGCCCCTGTCCCCACGATTGGCCCTTTCACGTTCTGCATACATTCCCCACAGATGGACTCACCTTCATCACAGGTGACAAGTCGGGAAGATTCTTTGGGGAGCCAGAAACACTTCCATCAGATATTTTGAGTTTCCTGGAGAGATTGCGTTATGTGATTAGTGAAAATACTACATTGTATGTGCTTGGCGGTTCATTGACCTTTGTGCAGCATTTTTACCTGCAGAAATGATGGACTTAAAATCGAATTGTGTACACAGGTATCTTTGAAATCACGTGCCATTCTCACCCCCAGTGAGCGTGTGTGTGATGTCGCTGTGTGCACACCTCCAGCCCATCATTCACTGCTTCCATTGTCCCCACAGATGTTGGCCTGTGTTGCTCCATTTCACGCTGGGCCCTGGGGGGGGGAGGGGGGGGCTGGCTTCAGTTGTGTGAGCACCGGAAGGCCATGGCATGGTTACCTGGTATCTGCCTGCCCGTCCCTGGTGAGGACGCAACTCCATCAGAATGCACAGTGCCCTCGCTTGCCTGAGAGTCATGGAAGCTGGGGGCTGGTAGGGAGTTGGCCAAGTGATGAGTACTAGAGAGAGGCTCCAGGGGTGTTTGTCTCTTGGTTTCTTGTCTAATTGTGGCTGCAAAGGAACCTGCTCCTGTTTGCCGGGGTTGCAGTCTCTATGGGTCTGTCATCCTTGATCTCATGATCACTGTGCATGCGCCCCTTGATCGTACCGTCTCTCTAGCTACACAGTGCTACAGGTCGGGCTTCCAGTCTCAAGGGTGTCTGAGCAGCTCAGCAGACTGACAAATGACCCCACTTGTCTTTCTTAACACACTGGTTTTCAGACCACTGTGATCCTGATTTCCTCTCAAGTGGGATTTCATACCAACATGCTCGGTAGCAACATGCTCAGTAGTAAGACACAGGTGGCGCAGTGGACTAAGCACCACCTGCTAACCAAGAAGTCGGTGGTTAGCCGCTCTGTGGGAAGCTGTCCCAGAAAGCCTCACAGTCTCGGAGAACCTATGGAGCAGTTGCAGTCTGGTCACTGAGCCAGGATTGAGCTGACGGCAGTGGGCTGACGGCAGTGGTGTGTTTTCAGTCCTGGTGAAGGAGCCGATGCACCAGCACGCCCACATTCGCCAGGTCCCCGTGGGGGGTGTGAAGAGCCGCCTGTGTCTGGGTGGCCCCGGACCAAGGCCATCTCTAGAGAGGAGCAGGGTAGTGGTGTTACCATGCTGGTCCTTGGGGGCTGAGAAGGACTGAGAGCAGTTCACGTCCAACCCTGAGTGTCAACCCGGCCTCCTGCCCCCACTTCCTGCCCTCTTCTGACGGGTGGTGAAAGGGCTGGAGTGAGTCTGGGCACCCCACGCCCTCAGTGCCCTGTCCGGGTAGCAGGAAGCTGGACTCGCAAGACTCGCACGGGGGCTATTCACACACAATGCCAGGGCTAACCTTCAGATTGTACAAGAGTTAGCCAACCCTGCCATCCAGGTAACTCCTAGCAACCCTCTGGAGGACTTCCAAAACTGTGCATCTTCCTGGGAGCTGACCGCCGCCTCTCTCTTCTGCTGGAGGGCCTGGTTGGTTTGAACTGACGACCGACCGTGAGGTTAGCATGAGTCTAACGCCTCACTTACAGCACCACCAGGGCTCCCAAGAAGAAGTGAGGTGCTAGCACTTAGCTCATCGTGCTCTGTGCTTGGAGACAGCCTGCCACTTGGCTTGCTGGTTGCTGCAGCCCCTGTGTGCCAGAGAACTGCCCCTAGGTGTGTGCCTCAGCTGGACGGAGAACCGTGGGCTGGCATCTCAGGCCAGGGAGGGTCAGGCCTCCTTGTTTCCCTCAGGACCCCCTGTGATGGTGCAGTTGGCAGTAAATCAGAGCCGCTACTCAGTGACGCAGTGCCCACACTTGTTTTGAGAGGCTGTCATTTTGCTTTGCAGGGATAATGGCGACATCAAGTTCCTGACCAAAGGTGATAATAACGAGGTGGATGACAGAGGCTTGTACAAGGAAGGCCAGAACTGGCTGGAAAAGAAGGACGTGGTGGGAAGAGCAAGAGGGTGAGCACTGACTTCCAAGTCTTCCCAAGGCTCCTGAGCCAGAGAGGCATGCAGAGGCCGACTCACTAAACTAGGGTGGTAGCTTCATTGACTGCTATCAGCGTGTGTAGGGAGCCCCGGTGAGTGTGAGTTTGCACCAGGAAGGCGGACCAAACGTAGCACTCTGAGGACCCAGCACCACAGTGCAACCGGAGTGCGGGCTTCTCTTTGGCTAGGTGTGTGCCTTCAGCTGGTGTTGGTGATTTCCAGCCTCATGTTCCCATGGGCCGGGGGTTTCCAGGATCCTGCTTTAGAAGCACACTCCCCTCTAGAAATCATTGTGCGCTCTAAGCAACATTGCTAGACAGCCTCCCAGAAGTCACCCCTGCTTGACACTCTGCAGACTGTGCCTACACAGGCCGTGTGTGTCCAAGCATGTGTAATAGGTCATTTTACATCGTTTGTTTGTCTGCTCAGGAAGAAGTGTCAGATCGGTAGCCGTGTCCTTCTGCGTGGCTCCATGCCATGTCAGTGAGCATGGGGCCCTAGTAAACCACTCCAGTCTGATGGGCGTGTAGATCATTCCCTGCTGGAAACATCTGGGGCCGTGTCTTTTCGTAGCCATCTCTGCTTCATTGTCCCAGCTCTACTGTTTGTGTCTTTATTACAAAGCCTTTTGAATCCTCGATGAATGCTGCTCGAATAGCCCAGTAGTGGCACTCCCCAGGAAGACTGACTGCTTCAGACTGAGTGTAGTATTTTCAGATGCTGCTGTAATTGTTAAGGACATTGTTTCTATTACTTGCTTTTTATTCTGCATTGTAGGTTTTTACCCTATGTCGGTATGGTTACCATAATAATGAATGACTATCCAAAATTCAAGGTGAGAACTTGTCTGGGTGAGTGTGTGTGTAACAGTGGAGCCTTATGAATCAGGGAGCTTCGTTTGAACGTGCTGTAAGGGACAGCCTTCTCAAAATGCTTCCCTAATTAATTGTTAGACGAGTAGTTCTAGTTAGCGACAGTCATCTCATCATTTAAATGAGCGACATTTACTTTTAGCCCCTTTCATCTTCTGCGTTCTTGATGTGTCGTTCTGAAATGGCATGTTCGAACACACGCACAAGCAGAGTAAAACGGGCCAGAAACCTGAACCTCTGCTGCTACAAATGGTGGCCACTGGACCACCAGCCCGAGGAGCAGGGGTTGGCGGACAGGCCTGGCGGTGTGCTCTATGAGGTCCCAGCCCGAAGCCCGTGCAGCCCTGCTCCTCTGCACATGCATTCCCTGTGTTTGGCCGGGTGGAAAAGAGAAACTGATCCAGAGACACTCGTGTAAGAGAGAGCTTTATATCAAGGAGTAATTGTATATTGAGAAAATGCCCCAGCCCAGTCCAGATCAAGTTCCCCAGTCCGATACTAGTCCATAAATTGCTCTTCGGACTCACGCTGCACATGCAGTGATGCAAGATGCAGGAAGATCACAGGCCAGTGGGTGCAATCTTGTGGATCCAGTGGCGGTGGAGGCATCTCCAGGGCTCTCATAGGTTTAAGCTTGGCTCCATGTGGCTTGTCAACAGGAAGGTGAAACCAGAGAGAGGGGGGCGGGCCTCCAGCCAGCCATTTATCTCAGTTGCCCTCCAATCAAGCTGCGACCTGATTGACAGGCTAACCTCTGCCCACATGTGCTAGCATGCTGGCACAAAAAAACAAACTATCACAGTCCCCCAGGGTCAGAGTTGCTCAGCGGCAACATTGACACAGTAAGCCCGATACTGCCCTTCTCCCAGCTTCAGGGAAAAGGGTATCCGTGTTCTCGTCACTTATCGGAGAATGGGGGTGGGGTGGGGGGCACGGCTCCGTAGTGAGCGCACGTTGGAGCCATGGTCCCAGGTCTGAACCTTAGCCCATCCCTGTGTGTCAGGGGTCACAGTGAGAGCAGGGAAGAGGAGGCTGCCCTGGATAAGTGCTCATTGACAGGCGCACAAATGGCTAGACCCCCGTTGTTAACCACTGTGCTTCCTTTCCAGTACGCCCTGCTGGCTGTGATGGGCGCCTATGTGCTACTCAAACGCGAGTCCTGAACCACGAAGGCGGGAGTTCTGCTGCCAGATGAAATGCATTGTGCTAAAAAAGAGAAACTAATATATCTGAGATGCTCCTTGTTCTGCATAAAGGGACCCAGTCCAGAGACCTTTTTTTCTTGCCCAAATAAACGCTTCCTCGGTAAGGCTGGTTTTCTTCCGTGGTCTCGATCTGAGTCGGCTCAGTCGGCCTGGCAAGCAGGCTGTGTGACGCGCGTGCAGTCATTCAGTAGGCCCCGGCCTGCAGTGGGGATGGTGCGTGGGCTACACAGTGGTGTCCCAGTGTCCCTGTTTCAAAACGAAAACTCCTTGCTTACTAGAACTGCCTATCTGGGGTCGTGGTGAGATGTGGGGGACAGGGCCTTAAAAGGTGATCGTTTCTCATTTATGAAAACGGATTCTGACAAAGTTATAAACCCTAGGACTTTTTTGAAGGAAAGGTATCATCTGTTTTGTTTTTGTGGTGTGGTGCATCTTGTAAAATTATTTGAAAGGTATTTAATATAAAATCAGTACATGTACCTTGAAACCTCACAGAAGCTACCGGCAGGGCATACCCTTTCCTCAGTGTCTTCCCACTGTGTCCTGGCCACCATCACTGTTAACTTAGACCTCTGAACATGGGTGGCAATCAGCGGCACCCAAAGTGGGCGTGCCACCCTTGCTTCCAAAAGGAATGCTCCAGGGGCAGCAGAAGTTGATGTCTGCACGTTATCCTAGATCGTGGCTGCAGTACACAAGGCCTTTCATTACCGGGTGGGCACTGAGTAATTTTTTTTTTTCTGAAAAGGAGATGGGACACCAAATCCGTTTGGTAACCTGTCATATCAATAGCCTTTCACTCAGCATATTTATCAGTCACATGTTTTCCAGCCACTCTGGGTGGTGGGGAGGAAGTCCCAGCCCTGAAGAGCTGGCAGTAAGTACAGTGTGTGTGGGGGGGTGGGGGGGTGAAGGTCAGATAATAAGCGGTAGGGCTGTGAAGAAGGGGAAGCAGGGGAGATGGGGATGAAGATCAGAGAGGGTGTTAGTTCAGGTTGACCGGGGAAACAGATCCAGAGACACTCATGTATAAGAGCTTTATATAAAAGAGTACTTGTATATTAAAACATCCCAGCGCAGTCCACATCAAGTCCATAAGTCCGATCCTGGTCCATAAATCCTTCTTCAGACTCACACAGTCACATGCAATGATGCAGAATGCAGGAAGATCACAGGTCGGTGGGTGGAAAGTCTTGTGGATCCAATGGCGGAGGAAGCATCTACAGCTCTCTGGCTGCCATCAGCGTGGCTCCATGTGGCTTGTCCACAGGAAGGGGAAGCAGAGAGTGTGGCCCACCTCCAGGGAGGAAGTTCCCAGAATGCTCATGAGCAGGCCACGCCCATAGGGAGGCATCATCAGGCCGTGCCCGATTGACAGTCTCGACTCCACCCCTACACTGATGTAGCAAGTTGACATGAAATTATGTAGCTACCACAGAAGGGCTCTCCTAGGAGGTGACAGGAAACAAAAGGCAAAGAGGAAAGGTGGCATCCTGGTAGTGCCCTGGGTTAAGCACCCAGCCTTGAGCCTTTGGAGCCACCTAATGGTGCCTTGTGAGAAAGGCCTGGGCATCTGTTCCCACACGGCCATGACCAGGGCTCTCAGGCCCTGCTGCTCTCACTACTGGGGGTCGGGGGGCTCTCTAGTCAGCACGACCCCCCAGTACCCAGGACCCAAACCCGCTGCCATCAGATAGCAGTGGCAGAAGAAACGCGAGGCTGAGCGATGTGGCAGCCTGGGCGAGGGGTGGGTTCTAGGGCAGCCCTCCACGGGCCAGTGTTGCTGATCACCTGGTTACAGGTTCACACGCAGCTCCTCCAGACAAGCTGAGAGGCACCTCCATCAGACAGCTGCTCCAGAAAAAGAGTATTGGGAGCCCAGAGGTGGAAGTTGTTCCCTAGAGAAGGGGAATGCGTGGGCACGTGTGAGGTACTCATGCTTGATGACCCGGGAGGTTTTGTTCATGCTTTTTAATAGAAATAGAAAAGGGAAGGCTAGAGTTATGTGACAGGGCATGGTGAAATGTGACGTCATCATGAGGGGCAACAACAAAAGGGACGTAGAGGTATGGAATTCATGTGTGTGACTGAAGTTGGGTTGGTACCCTAGAATTGTTTAGATGCAAACTCAAATGTAATATTCATGATAACCGCTCAGGAAAAAAGGTTTTTAAACACACACAGAAGGAAAGGGGGTGGGAACCAAAAGGCTCATCCCAATAAGACGTGACCCGAATTATAGGACACACAGGAGACGAAGACAAATGACAGAGGGGCAGAACTACCCCGTTCTCACCAGCAATGACAGTGACTAAATGCGCTGGAGGCTCCCATCAAAAGGGAAAGCGCGCCAGAATGGACGACAGAAACATGACCCACAGGTTTCTGACGAGAGCTACCCCTGGGACCCAGGGCACAAATAGTGTGAAAGTGAAAGGATGGGGGAGAGTCCTCCGTGCAGATAGAACCAGGAGGGATGGCCTGGTCTCCCTAGTCCCCAAATAGTAGACTTGACACAAAGCTCTCAGGAGACACTGAAGATGGACATGAAGAAAACAGTGACCACAGGTTCCATTAAGACTTAACCATCAGTCAGTAATATAGGGACTCAAATATATTAACACTGATAGAATTGAAGGGAGGAATAAAACTGCCTTCATGGAGGCCTCGATCCACCACTTTCCATACTGGGCAGAGCGTCTAGAAAGGAGACCGACAAGGAAACAGGATGGATTGACACTTCAGACCATGTGGATGTAACAGACATATGTAATAGACATGTGTCGAGCGCTCCCCGCCCCGCCCCCCACCCACAACAACACTGGACATTGTCTTCCAGTGCACATGGATCATTCCTTAGAAGAGACCCCAGTGTAGGTTAGTTACAAAGCAAGTGCAGGATACACATTTTACAAGATTGAAATCATGCCAAGTAGGTCCTCTGACCTCAGCGGAAGTGGAACTAGAAACCAATAACAAAGGAATTTAGAAAAGACAGGCATATGGAGAATGACACTATTAAACTGCCAGTGGGTGAAGGAAGAAATCTGGAACTTCTTAGGGCAAATTAAACTGAAAGCTTGTTGTTGATAGGTGCCATCGAGTCGGTTCCGACCCACAGCGACCCCTACGTTCAGCAGAACCAAACACTGCCCGGCGCGGCCATCCTCACAATCGTTCCTATGCCTGAGCTTACTGATGGCAGCACGGTGTCAGTCCATCTCCTCGAGAGCCTTCCTCTTGTTTGCTGACCTTCCACTTTACCAACATGATGTCCTTCTCCAGGGACTGGTCTCTCCTGATAAACAAGTCTGATGTATGTAAGCCAACGTCCCCATCCTTGCCTCTGAGGAGGACTCTGGCTGTCCTTCCAATACAGGTCGGTCTGTCCTTTTAGCAGTCCATGATACTTTGAATAGTCTTCTCCAGAACCACAATTCAAACACTTAGATTCTTTCTACAGTCTTCCTTATTCAGTGTCTACCTTTCGCAGGCATCTGGCTGGGGTCAGGCTCACCTTGGTGCTCCAGGGAACATCCATGCTCTTCAGCACTCGGAAGAGGTTTGCCCAGCAGACTGACCCGATGCAGGGCAGCTCTGGAAAGTGGAAGGGCAGCAAGCCAGAGCATGAGAGTCAGCAGGATGAAGCCTGGGGTGAGAGACAAAATAGTAAATCTTTTTTAAAAGATAGCTTACATCAACAGCCTAACTCAACAATTCCAGGAACTAGAAAGAGAAGCCCAGACCAAGCCTAAACCAAGCACAAGGAAGGAAAGAACAAAGATCAGAGCAGAAATAAAAGAGAAAACAAAACACCACTTGAATCCATAAAACCAAAGGCTGGTTCTTTGCAAGAAGGTCAATAGTATTGATAAACTCTGAGTGAGACTGACGAAAAAGAGAAAAGAGGCAAATACCCCAAATAAATGAAAGAAAGGACGTGACAAGCTACCGGAGACTGAAGAGCAATTGAACGACAACAAACAGTGGTTCAGATGACGTGGGCAAATTCTTAAAGCACACAACTCACCCAAATGGATTCGAGAGGAAATAAATGTTGACAAACCCATCACAAGTGAAGAGATTGAATCAGTGGCCAAAAACCTCCCCACAAAAATCCCGGACCAACATTGAAGGAACACTTGACACCAATATTGTAAACACTTCCCCAAGAGAGAGAGAAGGAAGGAAGGACTACTTCTGCGAAGGCGGCCTAACCCCAATAGTGTGTGCGTCTGAGTACATTAGAGAAACAAATCCACAGAAACTCATGTATAAGAGAGAGTTTTATCTAAAGGGTAAGTGCACATCAAGGAAACATCCCAACTCAGTGCTGCCCAACCCACAAGTCCAATATTAGCCCATATGTCTGACACCAATCCACAAAGTCCTCCTCCATCTCACAAAACACACATTATGACGTGACTGCAGGAGGAAAGCCGAACATGTAAGCATCTCAGTGCTGGCAGGGGTCTCCACACAGCTGCTCCAGCACCCAGAGCTGTATCGGGGTAGGTCCATGTGGCTTCTCCTCAGGGATGTCTTGCAGGAAGTGAGCCTTGCCAGCTAAAGCAGGGAACTGGCTAAGGCACCTGCACCCTGGTCCGACTATCAGAAAGCAAGAGACCCGAGAACTAGAAAGGTGAGGCTCACCGAGCCATTTATCCCTCCGCCCTTCAATTAACCCCACATGTGTTTATCGGCCAGGTTGGCACAATAAACTTATCTCAGTATTGTTTATGAATACAAATTCAAATAAGCTCAGCTAAATACTAGTGAACAGAACCCAACAGCATAGTAAAAGGTCCCTACCCCATGACCAGGTAGGATTTATTGCAGGAATGCAGATAGGGGTCAACATGGGAAAATCAATCAACATAAGACAACACATCAATAGAACGAAAAAAAAAGAGCTACAAGGTCTTGATGAAAACCCCAAGGGAGATCAGAATAAAGGAGACATTTCTTAACATGATTCGGAGAATATATGAACAGCCAAAATTACAGTTAATGGAGAGAGGGAGGCATTGGGAGTAAGAGGAGAGTGCCTGCTCTCCCCACTCCTGTATTGTGTATTTCATAAGGGAGGAGACAAGAAGAAAAA